TCTAAGTGTCTCAAATTTGATTTGCCACTCTAATATCTCTCTTATGCTCACAAATCACTTCTATACTCTATAAGAGGCCTTTTAAGCACAATTAGCAACTTTAGGACATGAAATCGTAAAGTTAGATTACCAAGGATCTATCTCAGCAAAAGCACAATACAAACTTGTCTGTAGATGAAAAAATAAGACACTAACACCAAAATGCTCTTAACCACAAGTAAGAGCAAACTATGATCTAGATCTAGATCTGAATTTGAAAGTTAGGTTCTTCCAAAGCCTAAGATCAGCAATAACAACTTGATCTACTCCACACTTATAAAACCACTTCAAAGAACTTCAAAAAACACTCAAGAAAATGTGAGTGGGCCCATAACCTATTGAAGAAAAGAAGTCTGAAAGCTACAAACACTTAGCATCCGCAAGGATTGTAGTCTAAGAGAAGTGTGGAAAAAGATAATTCTTACTTCCAACACTCTTTACTTATAGGTGGTGGTTTGTTCACCAACGAGGCAACTTCCATCTTTTTGATATTACATCCATCTCTACCTCATTCAACTAAATCCTTAATGCCACTACAATAACTTATTTTAACTCTTTGCTACCTTTTTACTATTAGCAACATACTATGCTTAAGCTTTATGTGGTTGTAACTAAGCAAGTACTTGCTGATTTTCAACCCATAGTACACAAAGGCGAGATCCCAAATTCTCATGAAATTTTGAAAGATGTCTCTTAAGGTAACATTGGGTGGTTTTTGAAATCGGTGTTCTGAAAAAATAAGTGGGGTTGACGATCTTTTCTTGTGTGTTTTTTTTTTTTTCTTCATTAAAATAAATTCCTGACTACAGAATCATGCTATTTTCTGCATCATGTATTCAACATATGCGTCCCAGTGTCAGACTACATTGCATTTAACTATTTTGGAAGTTGGAAGATAGCCAATTTTTCCGAACCTAAAAGTGGGTTTTTTTCGAGACATAGAGATTCGATGGGAAATGAACTGAGGCGGACATAGACGATGGAATCCCCTCGGGCGTACCCAGATTGATAAGGCGGAGGAGATATGCTTCTCCATTGCCACCATCACAGCCCCCTCTTGTCTAAGCTACCTATGGACACCTGCCATGACTGAATTACGGTACCCATCCTGTGCTCTGAGCAATTTCTTTCCAACGAACCATCATCGTCGAACAAGCAAATACCAGGCATATACTTTACATTGACATTCTTTGAAACCTAGAAATCCATAAAAACCTTCTCCGGCACGAAACAAGGTTCACTTCCTTGGAGTCTGTGTGTGGTTTCCCTGCGGAGACGGAGGAAATGTGGATAGTAGAGGACCTGGCACAATCCCAGGACGACACGTACAGATCCAAACTGTAAGCTGCTGGATTGACCCTCAGTTGAGATGAATTGGGCTAATCTTGCTGGGCCCGATGATCATTCCCGATAATCTGATTTGAGAAAGTAGTAATTTGATTCCATCCAAAGTTATAATATAATACCCTCACCTTTACGCAGCCACCCCTTCCGCCCGCAATGCTTGCGATAGATTTCACAACCCACAAAATTCTCCACACTCGCGCAACAATGTTGCTAACGGAAGTAAGTCGAGAATGACACCAGCACAGATATTTTATTCTATCAGAAGGCAGCTTGCGGGTTGGTGAGTATCAGTTCGACCAGACCAATTCTGTAATTTCAAGTCTTGTCACGATTCATTAGAGCTGAGTTCTTCGCATGAACTAGAATTAATAAATCACACAAGAGGAGGACGAAATGTAGCCTTCGATACAAAATCATAGAGTCAGCTCATCCCCTCGAACTATGCTTATTCTTGAGAATAAACTTCACTGAAGAAACATTAGGAAATGGAACAATTTTAAAGTAGGAGGGTACCTGAGTCTAAATATTTGCAGAAGGATACGTTGACATTGTATTTCATCCTTGAATTCTCTGACTCTCGCAATAGTTACAGACAGCAGCTCTAGAAAAACTCCTATGGGTCAAAGCACCAAACTTCAATGCTGAACTCTTGCACTAAGTGATGGAGTACGGCATAACTGGACAGGATCCGGACGAGCGACGGGTCCTCAATATGATGTGGGCTGAGGTAGGTTTGGAGGGTTGAGGGGAATGGCGCGTCGACGCCATTGCTACGGCTCAAAGAAATCGTCGATTCTGAGAATTGGGTGGTGCATTAGTTCCCCGCGTGGGACAAGGTGGACTGCCAGGAGCGTCGCTTTGTGGGTTTCTAGCAGGTTACAGGGTAGTGGGATATTGAGAATTTTCATGTTTGATCTGGAGGAAAACTTGTAGGGCGTGAAATCCTAGTCTGGTAGCGATGGATCAAGCGATGGAAGATGGGCGTGAGGAGGACGAGGAAGAGACGGAGAGCGTAAGAGGAGATCGGAAGAACGGAGTCGGCGAAAAGAAGTTGATTGTAGAGACAACTGTGCTCTAGATCAAGAAAATGATGCGGGACCCGAGGAGCTTCCTGGCACGGAAAATCAATTTCTTTGCCTTAAAACCGCGGATTGGATTGTGCAGATCTGCCGATTAGACGCATGTGTCTCGGAAGATGAGCTCCTCGTTGATGCACATCTTTGCCCTGGGGATTGAATTCTTGAAATTGGGGGTTTGGTGGTTGTTTGTGCTTTCTGCTCGACTCCTTTCGGAAATATTGGGTCGCCCTCTCCTCTGACCGGTTCAACGGATCACTACTGCAGCTGTTCTTGCAATAAAAATCGGAAGCTGTGGCATGTCAAATCGTGACGTGCTCTTCACATTCGTCTAAACTTCACTAGAAATCTTGCGAGTACACATTCGTGTGATTAACTTCCCGCATTAGAGCATATAATGCGAATGAACGTATTGAATGGGAACCTTGCGTGCATACTTGAATGCTAAATTTGTCGCAAAAGACCCTGAAGCTTCCATTGAGGCAAAATGATGAGTCTTCCTCGTTATGGGTTCCCATTCGCCACTGGTTGAGCAGGGGGCCATCGTCCGATAGCTTAAAAGTTCATGAAAGCACCTGTTCCCTATGAAATCACTTTTAAAAATACAATTCAAATGAATAAATATAACTATTTCAGAAAAGAACAGAGTTTACTTGCGCTCATGAATTCATGTTACTAGTTTGGAGTGTGGGCTGTGAATGTAACCTGAAATAGAGCACGTATGTCAGCTTGAAGGAAATGCTGTCTCGATCAGAACACCGACCTGGCTAATGCACGCTATATTTGTTCAGGTTAATATGATTGTGGAAGTAGAGGGTGTGAAATGACCGCTTTCTGGCGATCCTGGAGTATTCTCCAAATCTGCAGGTTAATTTTTCAACTGTTTTGCCAATGCGATAATTGAGGGAGTATGGAATACTTGCGCATACTTTTCTCTGCGCCGGCAACGTACTCCCTCTGGCAGGAGAGAGCCCCGGTCCCTGGTCTCTGAGGGACTCTTTTTTAGGGTTTCGTGTCTCTTCAGGAGCTGGGATTGTGATTCCGACTGCAGTATTTATCCTTGAGGTTTGTTTTCCATCATCATTTTCAAAACTCCTTTTCAGCTACTTTTACCATTGGTCAAATGTCAACATGTTTTAAACGATTCGGAGACGTCTTTCCTCTGGATGAGGTCAGATTTTTGAGTACCCTCAATAACCAGCAGATAAGGTTGGAAAATGAATAGGATCAAATGTAGTGTATTTAGATTCTTATGTTTGATTCGTTTGCAAAATCTATGCTTCATCTTTGAATTTGGAAACTATCTCTGGAGGAGTGTACTAAATCTGAGTAATTTTTTGTAGAACACGTGCTACTTACTGAGGTACCAAGATGGCGACCGGACCGTATTCCACTAATTGGTAGTTGCTTCATCAATGTAAAACGATGGCGTGAACTACCTGGACCTCAACATCCTTGTTGATGAAGCCATAACAGATTCTCTAAGCATCGTGTTGCAAATTCCTGGAATGAGCAACCAGGTTCACATGAAATTGCTTCATAATTTTTTTGGTAGCTTCATGTGGTCCACGCCTACTCGTAGTTGCTGTATAATCCCTGCTACAGCTCTGAAATGATAGAGTTGTGAGCAAGGTCTTTGACTCATGCACGATCTTGTTAGACATACGTGCTCTATTTCAGGTTACATTCACAGCCCACACTCCAAACTACTTTTCACCGGATTCGTGTAACCTTCTGCTCCAGGCAGTTTTCTCCATTCAGTCCCTTCAATTTTGTATCCGCAGTTGTGTGCTATGCTCCAAATCCGTGACTTAAAGATGGTATCTTTTCAAACTTCTTCTTATTTACTCACAAACCTTTCCCAAATGACTCAGGCAGCGTCCATCTGTTGAATTTGAGGTTGCAACAATTGCGTTCAAAGCTTTGAGAACGAGGTCTGATAGCCCGTATGGTTCAGAAAAAGTCTTTCCATCTGGTGAGGCTGTTGAAAACGGATGAGAAAGAGTCCTACGCAACTTGTTTTGAACATAAAGCAATTCTAAAATATCGTGCACTTTTCGGTCTATAACCAAAGTGTCTTGAAATTGGAGACGTTACTCGCCAAAGCCGTACTTCTCGAGGCAAAATTCTTTTGAAGAGCTGATCATAAGAGGGAAAAAGGCTCGGTGAAAACAGCCAAAGCTACTTCCTTTGTGTAAGTAAAATTCATGGTGGCATATCACTTCGTTTCAGTCTTCATCTTCAATTTTCCAATCAAACAAGCACGCACCTCAACCCGTGTTTTGAGTGTAACATGGACACTCAGTTTTGTTCCAATAGTTTTAGCTCTTGGCTGAGTAGATCTAACAATAATTGCCTTTCGTCCCGAGTCATGGATGACTATGGTTATAATTGTAACAATACACAATATACAAGAAGAAATGAGCTTGCTGAACATGACGTCGTGCTTCAACGTCGTCGGCGAAGTCTCACCCGTACCATTCATCGAAAAGGATGAATTATCTATCCTCCTCAGGGGCATATCCACCACTGATCACTCACCACCCACACCAGCACTGAGCTAAATTAGGGTTTCCATGTCTTTCCACATCCTAACCCCTCAACCCCAGTCTTTGGAGCTAGATCCATTGCTTCGAATTGCTGTTGTGATCTCCCACAGCTACAGCCATATCCGTGTCCCCTTGGCTTTCGCTGCCTGTGGTGTTGAGCATTCGTCATGGAGTTTCAGTTTGTGGGCATTTAGACTTGTGTCGAAATTCACCATGGAATTGAGAGCATCAATTCGGGCTCTTTCATTTTGTAATGCGTTCGGGGTCTCGTTTGGGAATCCATGGGGGAACGGAATTGCCGCAAGTCATTCCGCTGGGCGTGTTTTTCTCCCTATAGTTTCCCAAGCAGTACAATTGAAGCGGAGCCCGTCAGTGGCGGAGATTACACCCAAGCAGCTGCAGCGGAGACAGAAGAAGCAGGAGTGGCGAAGGAAGCAGCGGAGGATGAGGAGGGTGACGGAGCAGGAGAGGCATGAAAATAAGAATCTCGTGAGAAATGACAGAGGTGCTGTGCAATCCGAGGTAGAGATAGAGGTAGAAGAAGAGCAAGCGGGGGAGATCACTCTTATAAGCAAGTTTGAGGAAGAGTTTGCCATGAGGGTCAGAGACACAGCGAATTGTATTGAACCTAGCACCACTGAGACCTCGGACATTAATGAGGGTGAGCTCGCGGTGAATTCTAGTAGGTTTCGGGAGGACTCGCATTCGGTGAATGAGGGCAGCCTGGATGAAGTGGAGTTTGAGTCAGTTGCACCGAATGACTGGCTTCTAGCTCATGAACGTCGCAGCAATGGCGATGTGGATAATTCTGGAAAATATACTGAGGAAATTGTTGAGAATAGTTATGTTTGCAATGATGGTGTGAGACTCAACGATGGAGGCATTGACGACGTAGGGTCTCGATCAAATTTTTACATTGAAGAGAATGGTAGCCGTAGTCTTGGCATAAATGAAGATGGGAGTTTGGGCGTTCAACGGAAGGAGAGAAATCTGTATATGGAGATTCCCGTGGTGGCTCAGAATATTGAGCTCTCGAGTAATGACAATGGCAACATGACAGAGGAAAACTCATCTGTAATCAATGTGCATTACGAGAACGTGGAGGAAAATTCGCCAGTGCGCTCTTGTAATAGATCACAGTTGCATTTCATTGAGAATTCTCTTAATAAACACACGTCAATTAAAGTAGCGGGCATATCTAGCCGTTCCCATAATAATGCATTTAGTACGTGTAGTGGACGTAAGATGCGTGATAGGAATAAAACAGATGCAAGTACAGCATCTGAGGAAGCATGTTGCCAGGAAGGCTCTTCGAGTGCTCTTGAACGAATGGATTTGCGTGTTAATCCTAAAACCTCAGGACGGAAACAGAATATTGTGGGTCAGTGTACCATAGATGGAAGGAAGGGAGAACCTTTGGCAACATTACTGGATAAGCAATTGGGAGATAGTTTACCAACGCATGGTGTGCATGAAGAATTGCACGAAGATGCTACTAGCAGGGTTTGGAGGCTGCCAGCCAACGAGAGGAAGCACCTAGAACGACTGGTAGAAGAGTACGTCTTAGATCTGACATTCATTCTGCGTGCTAACAAATCATTGGAAAGCATTGGCAGAGACATCTGTTGTTGGAAGTTGTCACACTGGTGATGTAGGTACAAGGTGATTGTCAGCTCGTCAGCTTCTTTTAGGTGTACTAATGTTGTGTTTGAGGTATGAGTTTTCTGACTGGTGGTGAATTGGAATTAGGTTAACTAAGGTGGGCAAGAAGCAGACATTTTTGCTCTCACGACTCATGCATGGCTCTCGTGTAAAGTGGACGAATGGTCATTTGATAGAACTAGTAAAAATGCTTGGGGTACATAACGATTGGCGTAAAGCCATGGAAGTTGTACACTGGGTACATTGTCGAGAACATTTCGGGCATTGTCGAAGCAGGTACCATTTGCTCTCCTCACACCTCTTTTCTTTTTATTTCTTTGCTGCGCGCATCTATTCTCCGGTCAGTTTTCATTCCACTGTACGTTTTGCTGAATCATGTAGTTGAGCAGAAGGATATCCTGGTTGTTTGTTATTTAGGATAAATATGATGCTCCGGTCGAAAAGTGTGAGCGTAGTGAATGACATTTATTGATTCTGTGGCAGATATGTTTACACGACGCTCCTGGCTGTGCTTGGAAAGTGTCTTCGACCTGTGGAAGCATTGAATGTCTTCAACGTTATGCGTGTATGTCCCATAACCTCAGTTTTATTCTCATCCAGTCTCGTTATAATGCATGGGCTGTGGCTGATGATCTCTTTCTCCATCAGCGAATGATGTAGTTCATGCTTTGTTTTAGACTTTTACTTTTTTTGATGTTTTCTTCAGAATGTATTCTCGTGTGATGGAGAGTGGGGTGGTAGAAATTATTTCAAAGTTTACCTTAATACTCACAAGGAATAATATTTCTACAGGAAGACCATTCAACCTATCCAGATATTGCCGCTTACCACTCTATAGCTGTGACTCTTGGCAAAGCTGGTCATCTTACACAGTTGCTCCATTTGATTGAGTCCCTAAGGCAAGAGTCCATGAAGAAGCGTGCTAGGGGCATACCACTACAGTTAAGCTGGAAAGGGTCCCTGGAGCCGGACATTGTGATTTACAATGCTGTACGTGAACATCTATTATTGCATATTCTTACATCGAATCTTCTTATTTGATAAAATGTATAGTTTTAAGATTGATCAGAAAATTGGTGTCATAAGTGACTCGAAGTTCTATCAGAATGTCCGGAAACGTATACATGAAGTTTACGATCAGAATTAAAATGGAAGTGCGTAAGTATGCATAGGGATGGACAGTCAAAAGATCTACACAATTACAATTTCCTCTTCAGAAGCTGCCTTGTCTTGCTGTTGGTGCCCTCAGGCCATGCTGGAGAACGAATTTGGAGAAAGAAAACTACATTCTAGTTACGTTGAATGAAAATCTAATACTTGCATGTTTGAATTACACGTATGATTGTGACATGGACAACGACGCCCGACTGACAGTGGGTGCTACAGGTCATAAATGCATGCGGACCTCATAGAGAATGGGAAGGGGCGGAATGGGCTTTACAACAAATCAAATTTTCTCGGATCACTCCTGATTCTATTACTTATGATCTCGCAATTGAGGTGAGAATTGGCTCTTAAAGTATTACAGACATCCTCGATTATGTGGTCTATCTGTCAGTTTACGGGAAAGCATGCTCGTTTTGTTGGAAACCATTCTATCTGAGGTGATAAGTGAGTTGATTAAGGTTGTAGCTTGCAAAGTTGTTTAATGTGCATTTTCCTTTACACCACATAGGAATCTTGGCATCTAGATAGGATCACACATGAAGCTGAAGCTCACGATGCGATATTATGGCTGGGGTTGAAGGTTATGGTAAAATCAGGGCAGTATGATAAAGCTTGGAAATATTATGAGCTAATGGAGAGAGAAGGTTTTCTTCCTAGTGGTAAAACTTTCAAAGGTCTATCCCATCAACCCTGTTTTGATATTGCTTCTAGTACAAGTCAAGATTTTAAGGAATTTCATCCTCTAATCAAAAATATCAATCAAGAACCATGTTCAGTTTATTTAGCAATCAATTTTTGAATTGCTAGATTCAACATGAACTAACTGCAGACACGGACAGGTTTGATTTTTATATCAAAAACGGTTGTAGTAGTATAATTTCGTTTCACCACAGTGTAAGTAAATGATTCTGAGGTGTTTGAAGGTCGACTTTTTGCAGCTCTTGTGGAGGCCCTTGGCACGACTGGTGAGGTGGATAGAGCCATGGAAATGGTAGAAGATATGGAAAGTCGAGGAGTCTCTGAATGTGCTGGAGTTTACTATGCTCTTGCATCTGCACTTTGCACCGCAGGTCGGTTAAGCGAAGCCCTTGTACAGGTGCAAACTCACCGCACCTTCTTTTTGCATTGGTTTGCGATTCAACCTCAAATCTGGCCAGTCGATGATACAGACCGTGCCTCTATTCATCTCACCATGACAAATCGAATTGTGCAGGTGGCAAAACTAGCTAATCATCCTTCCAAGAAACCGGACGTGATAACATTCACTTGCCTGATTCAGACCTGCGAGAAAGCAGGTCGCTGGCAAGATGCCATCACTTTATTTAATCGTATGCAATATGTGTGCTCTCCAAATGTGGGAACCTACAATACTATGATTGCTCTTTATGGAAGACTCCGCATGTTCGAAGAAGCGAGGAACATGTTTGAGTTCGTGAAGGAAGGCAAGGGCATTGACAGCAGATCTACTCCTGCTGATTCAAGGCTAAGTCCAACTGCGCACACTTATGAGTCTATGCTAGGTGCCTGCGCTGCCTGTGAACATTGGGATTATTTTGAAGTTGTTTTGCAAGAGTATCGCACTTCTGGATTTCAACTCGATCGTCGGCGCCACTTATGGTTCATGTCGCCTATTGTCAAAGCTGGCCAGGTATGCCTACCAGCCTTTTACTTTGATAGATGTGACGTATGATTCAAAACTGCTTTTGTCAAGTTTTCTATTCATCCATTCATCAAAAGTTGACATGTTACTTCGAGCCACTATGGGTTTTGGGGTAACATTTGTCATTATTGTGACGTGCTTCGAGTATGTCAGTTTTACCCGTTGTGTCTTGAAACGAGTTGTCTATGGAGGTTGCAGTATATCCTGGATGGCCCTAGGGGACGTTATGTGAGCATTTCTTCTGTTGATTTGATATACTTGTGTCTTTATCTAATTGCTGTGATCTGTCTACAGGAAAGGTTGATAGATCTGGTGGCCTGTCTTTTGCAACGTCCAAACGAGCCTCCAAATGCTGAGTTCTACAGGGTTCTCCTCCCGTTGCTATCCATGCATGGACGGTACACCCTAGTCCTTAACTATCTCAGCGTTGCACTTGAACAGGGTGTGGTCCTTAATACAGCAGAGTGGTCCTCAATTGTAGGGAAGGCTCTAGAACAGTTACCCATGGCAGATGCCAAGAATTTTTTTTGTGCAAATGTCACAGCAGTCAAAGTGAATGATAACAAGTTAGTGAAGCAGCTATTGCAATGTCTCATTTCTGTGGGGGCTGAAACGAAGGCGAGGAATATAGTCACCTCATTAGGTCTACAATTGAGCGAGTTTGCACCTGATAAACATGATTCAAGGCTAGTGATGCAAGAGGAAGAAAATATTTCAAGTATCTTGGAAAACAAACCAGATCAAATATTGACCTAGATTTAGAGAGCCTCATTAACACACGTCATTATCGATGTGAAGATGACGGACTATCCATATATGATATCAAGCTGCACTGCTACAGTGGAGAAAGAAGGCCTCCTGTAGGTCCAGAATAAATGGCAGCGTAGAATAGATGTCATTAATGATAATTGATCGCGTACTCACAATTTCGCGCTTCATTTATGTATATAAAAGAGTTGTGGAAGCACTTTTGTGTTATTGAGGTGCTATTTTGCATCATTCTTGTGGTGGTTTTTAGGGGGATGTAAATTTATTTCTATCTACACTGATATCCACTAATCATCTCCTTAGAATCACCCGTCAGTGCCTAAATGTTTTTAGTTGTAATCATGAAAGTGGATTCTGTCAAAGAATTAGAGTGGTAACTGGTGAATCGAATCATATTCTCCGTCTGCACTGCTGAGTATCGTTCTGGACTCAGACGTTGGAATGTTGTCTCTAAAATTTACCTGGTGAACAGGAATTGTACCGTAAGCATGGCGGGGGGTGGAGAGAGAAATTGAGGAAATCGGGAGAAGAGGCGCTCCCCTTGGCCTTTTCACTAGAATCAGATACAGAAGCTCTACATAGTAGTGTAATATTTGATATCGGGGTCTTCAGGCCTTACGATTTTTATCCAATTTTTTCGATTGTGGATCCACCCTGCCGCTTGCTGCCTGGATCCGCCTGAGTGGCGTTGGTATTGCACAACATGGGTGACCAAGCCCTTCACTCTACTGGACAAGGAGCTCGACACAAGCATCAAACGGGGCTTCTGAAATCAGACGGGGTTCATCATAAGGCTCGGACTTTTTATGGTTTGCGTATCGCGTTCTAGTATTTGTGTCTAACTGGCTTCCTACTCAAGTTTCTGAAGAAAAAATGCTATTTCAGTGTTAGGAGATTACACATAGAAGGTACGACCAAACAAAAAGAGGCTGGATTGCACGACAGAGAAGATTTTAGAGTGCATATTCGCTAACGGCTGGTGTTTGAAAATGTTTATAATCATTGTTCTGTAATGTGACGTCCTAAAATTACATAGCATGTACAGCGCTTATGTCGAGTCATGCATGAAGGGTGTGAATTCCAAGTCATAAATTTTACATCACGTCTTTAAAATGTTGTGATTATTTAGGAGCCAACAAGCTTGTGATTCCATACAGGTTAATTTTCTGCTGTATTCATATACACAATTACTTCGACTAGACTCTGCGGCTGTCATCGTAGCCAACTGTCGCTGTCATAATCCGGTTGTTCTACATACATGTACTCAGAAGATTCTTCATCTTCGTGAAAAATTACATTCTCTGAATCGCGCGTGTCTGCATTGACAGTTTTCTCAATCTTCTCAGTTGGTGTGACGGTAGAAACACTCCTCTTCCGACCACTGAAAAAAATTCCAAGATTAGAATTTTCTGAGCCCTCCGCTCGTTTAGAAGTAGAGGAAGCGGTAGAAGTTTTACCACAGGAGGGAGGCGCAACAGAAGGCTTCACCTCGTCCTTCCAAAAATCAATCTTGGAAAGACTTTCATCCGAAGAGAAGGCGCTGTCAGGTTTAGCTCCATTCGGTTGAGATGGTCCGTTGCTGGCTCTTTCAAAGACCTTTGATTTCTCTACAGCTTGGGTAGATCCAGAACCTCCAAGGGTTTGTGCATGTGCGCCAAGTGAAGGTTTGTAAACTGACTTGCTTCCATTTATAACACTCTTCGGCTTCTTAGAATCCAGAGCTTGCCATTGGGTTTGCGACCTATTAAGGGTGAGAGAAATGAGTGCCAACTGCTTCGCTTGAGCTTCCTGTAGAAAAATGATTAGAGCCAACAGGTTAGAAACTCCTGATGACTAATAACGAACTTTGAGTTAAGGGTTACTTGAGGGACAAATGAGTCGCACCTGCATTGCGAGGAGGGCGTGTTGCAATTCTCGCAGCTCCTGCTCCAGCCGATCTTCTCGTTGCGCAAGTGCGATCGTCACTTGAGATGTCTTTTCAGAAATTGCTGCAGTCTGCAATGATTACCAACAGGACGACAACAAATTATGTGGCGCTTTTACAACCTGAATAAGCACGTCCTTCGGTAACAAGAACGAAATCAAGTCTCAGGAGTTGCATGGGTTTCGCACGTGCTAAGGCTAACCTCCTGCATTGGGTCTCTTAGAGTCCTCTTAGTTGCCCGGAACCGCACCCCAAGCTTTTCCACTTGTCTAGACAGTAACCGAGCAGTAGTGACGAACTCCCGAACATTTTCTTCTAATTCCACAACTCGGTGCTTTAACGTATTGTCACCCTTTTCTGTGCTTTCCTTCAGTTGAGGAAGATGTGTCAAGCGCTCCACAACTCTATACTGCACAATTGCGTTGAGAAAGATAGCTCCCAACACAGCAAGGAGTGGCAGTGACAACCAACTTGATGGAGCGTCCTTTTGTCTGACTACTGGTAGCGCCTGTGTAACCATATGTAGTGGCAGTCACTTTCTGTTTAACGTTCAATCTCGATAAAAATAAATAAATAAATAAAAATTCCAACTAATCCAGTAAATTTTTTGCTTACCAACGCAGAAAGAGATTAAAATTCATAAGGCATAAAAAGCTAACCCAAAGCGAGAGCTCAAAAGGATGGAGAATCTCAACACTGTAACTTCTGCTCATAGATGCGAACCCAAACATGCGTACATTGGCAAAGGGTACTTACAGGCTTCGTCACAGACATCAGAAGCACAGCATTCAAACCAATTGAGGTAGACGCCACTCTCAGCAACTTGTTCTTCTCCTCCGTCATCTCTCCACCACTAACTTCATTTCGAATAACTGAACCTGCATTCCAACTCCGATTTCAGCACCTACAACGTGGAAGAGGAAAAGTGACATTCTCACTTGAGCAGTAAAGATAGGATTCATATTGGGCACGAGGGAAAATACTACTGACTTGCTAACATGCTAGACCTGAGATTCATGTTTGAGGCTAAAAGTTTCGTGGGAGATCACATAGCCATTCACTGACATGTTCACGGGAAGGTAATTGACTGCAATTTCAAGCACACTCCTACGTCAAAGAGAAGGAAATGCATAATCACGTCGAAAATTGCAATGTTTTACAAGGAGATAAACCTCGACCTTGCTAAAAAAAAAAAAAAAAAAAAAAAAAAAAAAAATTCCTGAAGACAAGCAGCCTTTTCATCATCACGGCAACCACATTCGAAAACAAATCCAATATCCAGGAATTTAATTCACTACACAACTGCACTTACCTACAAATTTCTTTTCCACTCGAGCAGGTTGTCGCAACGACACCTTCCGAAAAGATAGTTCCTTCCCCAATAGGCTCGACCCAGTTGCCCTGAATTGCTCAGCTCCCAATAAAACGCCGGAGTGGAGAAAAACCGAAAACCCCATCGCCTCCCCGGTTACTCAGCAACATACAGGAACCCACCCACGCACCCTCCCACCTTAAACCCCTAATCCTATGACCCAATACTAACCTCCTCACGCCAATGCAGGGAGCTCTGACATCTCAGCGCACATCTTGACCTCCTCCACAACCTCCACAGGCACTTATTTCGGCACAGCGTGCAGCAACCCGTCGCATGCCATCTTCAAGCAGCTACTCCTCCACATTGCCCTGCAAAACATACGATTCCAATCTCGTTCTCCAGTAACTTCTCCACTGTAAAGCTTGACAGATATTTGGATTAGTGCGATAACAATGCTAATGCCGATAGAGGGTGTGAATGCACTGGCGGTGAATTGGACGGTAATTCCGGCCCCGCACAGCACAACATCAACACCAACACAGAACAACAAAAGGAAGACAGGATCTGGCAGAGTGCAGATGCGTTTCCGCTAAGTGTTCGGGTGCGAGATGAGCCACGGAGATCCATCGCCGTGGACGGACTCTCCAAGGGTTTAGCACCTCCGCGTGGGTGGCCCATGACCACGCCCAAGGGGCTTCCTGCGAAGGCGAAAATATATGTCGCATTTGGGTTCAATGATTTGTTGCTCATAAAAAATTAGATAATTTCCATCGGACTTCAAATCTCTTGATGAGTTTCATTTGAGCTGCTTCAACAAACTATCTGTATATTTAAACTTAACAATAAAAATTTATGTCAACCAGAATGAATTTAATAAAAAGAAAAACTTCTCTACTTTAAAGGACGTTTACATTTTTTTATAAAAATCAAACAGTAATATGTTTTCTTTTTACCAAAAGAATTATTTTCATACAATAGAATATTTTGGAAAAAAAAAAGAAAAAAAACTAATTTTAAGGAATTAGTTAAAGTAGAAGGATGTCTAAAGATTAGTAAAAGCTGGTAATATTTGCTCCAGGGAAAACAAATTCATGACTGACCATGCAAACTTCTCCAACTATTATTTGTCTCAAAAAATATTTATTTACTCACTTAAATATATTTTTTCTACAAATCTACTAACTTCTAATTTCAAAAGACAAAGAGATTGAACAATCTCAACTTTGAACAAATTGGCTATTTCAACAATGTTCTCTACAACCAAAGATATCTATAATACTATTATAAGCCATTCTATCAAAGTCTTTGCTCTTTATAAATTCAAAGCCAACAAACATGTATGCATTACAATTGTCTCCTAAAAAGAAGAGGATAAATTAAAAGACAAGAATACAATTAGTAGGTGTTAGTTCAATATTGCAATCAATTAGTGCAAAGACATGCTACATGTCTAATTTTTTTGAAACTCTTTTGTCTCAAGACAAAGAACTTACAAAGTGCATTAAACTACTTATAAATGACATCAAGGCCTGTAACCATGTACTAAACTTGGAACAAAAGTAATATACATGGCTTCATGGAAGAGCCATGAATATTGTATCAAAAACATTTGATAGAACACTACAATTTGAAATTTCAAAAAAAATTTGCCACTACTTGAAAGAGTAGCTATAATAAAATTTAGTTATATGGTTGTATTTGACAAAGTGAATTGGTAGTAGTTTGTTAAAGCAATTCTTTGTCTTCACACTTAAAAGATTGCAGCTGCAAGTTGTTGCTCCATATTTACTACATATGCAACTTCCTTGAATGCAAGATACCAGGGTGTCTACCTTAGCTTCAATAGAGTAGATGGAAAATTCTATCTTGTTTATGATGCTTTTGGAATAGCCTTAATTTAAAACAATAATAATTGGATATGGATTTTTTACCAACTAATATACACAATGTCTTTTCTAAACTCTACAAGCATGATAGTTATCAACAATTGCTAGAAGGTATATAATTTTTTTTGTTTTTATTTGATTTTACATTTATTTTTGTATTAATTGCAATAATATGTTAAGCAAATAAAAAATGTAGTTATTGCAAAGCTTTTGTGTAGAAACCACAATCTTTGTGTTTGGCACATCAAAAAGAACATGAATTAGTACTACAAAACAAAGTTGAACAATGAGATTTGAGCAATTGCAAAGGCATTGACCATGGATGTTCATGTAGTTACAATGGCAAATATCTTTGAGATGCAAGTCATTAAATTTTAATTTCTTGCTGCTATTCTACATCAAAATTAGACCTTCAATCATCTAGAATTTTTACTTTTTGGAATCCTTACTTCAAACATATCAAAGACAATGAATTCTTAGTTTTTTTATGCATGCCCCATGAAACTCTTCAATACTATTCATTAGATTTTTCAAAAACCTCGAGGCCTTTTCTACAATTGGCATACCAAATATGTAACCATTCTAATACATCTTCTGTCTAAAATGACTTCAAACATATAAAAGAGCATAATAAAATGACAAATTGATTAGGTCACAAAAATAGATGATGTTGTCATGATGTAATACGGCTAATAGAATTACTATAAAATATTCTAAAAAAGACTTAGGATAGTTATTTAGGTAAGATCTACTATTAAAAATATTCTAGAAAGTTCTAAGATGGTTGAACAAAGTATTAATAAGACTAGTTAAGGCCATTTGGGTAACCAGTCAAGTATGGCTTTGGTCCCTTTTTTTTTAATAAAGATTGATTTTGTATTTTTTTGTTCATTTTTTTTTTTATTCTCTTTTGTTTTATTATATCTTTTATATCCCATTCTATTTTGTTCTATTAAATTTTATTCTAATCTATGATGTCCTATATTGTGATAAGATTTATATTACTATGGATTAGAAAGGTCTTAAATCTTAGAGAGAATTCAGTCCCGTTTCAATTTATATATGTTTTATATAGCACAAGTAAGTTGTGTGAGGTCTATACTAGTGTTGTTACATTCATTAATACAAAAACAATAGTAGCTAATGGTATGACACTACCTTTGTCCAAAATAAAAATAAGTATAACAACTACAAATGTTTTTCTTCTACAATCATAATGAGATTGATTTAGAACACCAAATTAGGTACTCAAAATGTGATAAAAAAACAATTTTTTGGTATAGATGAAAAAAACAAGAGACAACTATGATTGTAACCATAATAAAGAATATAGTAATCATGATGAATGTATTTGGTTTTTATTTGTTGGAGTTATAGTAGTAGAAAAATCTAAAGTCTTTTTTTATAATGGTTAAGATAGATAGATAAATTTAGTAAAATCTTGGATTAATTTAACATTCTTATATATATATATATATATATATATATATATAATAAGAAAAATAATTATATTTTATTGCTACATAAAATAGAATATAACTCTTTTTTGTAATATAAAGTGAAATTATTTCATTTCATTTCTTTAAATTCTTAAGATCTTGTCATATCTAAGTAGTGCATCCAAAATAGTTTGTTAAGATTGATACAACATAATATTGAAGCTTAATCTTTCTAAATAGAGATTAGATCATAACTCTTTTTTTAAAAATACTATAGAATTTTGAAAGTCACAAATTATCTTCTTCTAGACTAATATTGTTCTTAATTTTTTATTTTTATTTTTATTTTTATTTTTTTTTCTATGGCAAAAAATAAGAAATTAATATGGTAAATTCTAAAAAAATCCAAATTATATCTAATTATAAATTCTCTTGAAGTATTGAGAATCAAGACAAATACCTTATATAATCAAAATAAAGAACTTTATATAACCACATGTAATGATTAAAAAAAAATTCTAACTTAGCCATTGCTACAAGTCACCTTAGCAACTCTATTATTAAAGTCCACTTCACTAAAAAAATAAATGTATTTGAAATAGCAATTTAACATGAAAAAAAAAAATAAAATAAAAAAAAATAGCTTCTTAAAAAAATTTATAGAATTTTTTTTATTATTTTGCAGCTTTATAAATCAAATAAAACTTATTACTTTGTTCTATTGTCAACAATATTTTGCAAAATAAAGATGAATAGAGATATTATTCATAAAATCAGTCCATTAGAAGTAGCACCAAAGAATGATAATAGTCAAGTTGTATTTAATATCATTATATCTTCAATTAATTTCATTGTTCTAGAACTTTTTTGGCTTCAAAGATATAATCCCTATATAGATTTGATACCTTATAAAATAGAATTTCTTAAAATATCACAAAATATTGTTATAAAACCTAATAGAAAATTTCATATACCTCATAGATCTAAAATTATAAAGCTTTAATTTATTCAAGGTACTTTGAAGCTTCAATTAGAAAAATAAAATAAGTATTAGCTAATACATAAAATAAAGAAAAATCTTTATTTGAAGTTGATAACAAAATATGATTGTTATGGCATAATGTAGAGACTCCTTAATCTTTTGAATAATTAAACTATCAAAATTAAGACAATATATTATTCAAAAATAAATAAATTATATTTCTTATTGATTAAAATAACTAGTATCCATAAATATATATCATGTATTTTACACCTTTCTTTTAGAACCTTATAAAGAATCAAAATTTTAAAAAAAATACAATTTCTTCTATCTTTTGTTAAAGTAAATGATCATAAAAACTTTAAAGTCAAAGAAATATTTGATTTGAAGCTAAAGCAATGACAACTAGAATATTTTGTATATTAGCACAATGTCATAAAATGAGTTGTCTTGCTTGAGAATGCATTGGATATTTAGCTATAGAAAGTACACTAAAAATTATAATAAACAAAGGCCTTAACAAGTCTAATAGTATTTTAAATAAATTATAATTAAAAATTAAAAATTCTAATTAAATATTAATTAATTTTAAATAAATTCTAAAAAAATCATAAAAAAATATTTAAAAATATTTAAAAAAATCTATATAAGTTTTAAGTGAATTTAAATAAATCTTAACCAAATCCTAACCAATTTTTAATAAAATCCTTATTGAATTCTAACCAAATTCTAAAAAAATTTAAACAAATCATAATCAAATCCTATCTAAATCTTTAAAAAATCCTATATTAGTCTTAAATCTCAATAATTATTAATTTAATTATTGATGTTTACTAAATTTTTTTACACATTTTAATCTTCAAGAAAAAAAAAGCATAATACTTTAAAAATTTTAACTTATCAATAGAAAAAAAAACTTTTTAATTTACTTAGATATTAGCCATTGTCCTTCTTTAACTTTGATATTGATCTTTTAGCAGCAATAATTCCTTATTAAATGTTTTAATTCATTTGTAAGTTGGAATGTTTTTTGAAAAATAATCTCATAATGCAATTTCAAAATCTTACTTCAATAGAACTGACAAATTGCTCAAGATCACAAAAACTCTCATTAACTCTAAAAATCAAATAATCAAGATAATAATCCAATAAAATTCTAGTATCTTTTAATTTAATCTTTTAATTGATTTTAAAATTTTAAATTATATTTAAACAAGCACATTTATAAACCTACAAATTTTCACCCATCCATCCACTATAACATTCAT